ATTAATTCAGAACGAATATTTAACCGCTTCAGTGGTTTTTACCCATATTCCTTTCGTTCCAGTCGCGTAGGCTTGAGCCGGACGACGACAATGTTTTTTGAATTGACTGTATACAAAATGCTTTAGACACTCACACTATTCAAAGAAACCAATATCTTATACAGTGTTCAATACACCTCTTCGGCTCTGACGTATTGTTTTCCCATTTCAGACCACATGTCATTCCTTAGAGTATCATATCTTTGTTTAAGGTTTGCGCTTGGTTGCACATGAGAAGCCCCATGAATATAGATACAGTTCTAACAAAGAATCTTATTCTCAAGGGAATGACACGTTGTCTGAAATGGGAAAGCATTACCCCAAGCCGAAGAGATCTATCAATTTCTTGATCAAGTTTTTAAGACCAGATCGGATATCATTCATTCTCCACACATAGAACAGTGGATTAATCACCGAATGAAATCCCGTTAAACTCTGCGCGACATGAACCGCGAAAACCTTGTTCTCCAAGTCAACTATCACGTTAACCGCAGCAACAACAACGACTGGAACGTAAGAAACAAGAGTCATCACCAAAACTATCAACATGTTATTCAAAGAGCGTCTATACTTAATAATATTGAAATCCGAAGTCCTTTGGTTTTCGGTACAGCCATTCGAGACTTTAGAAAGCTTCTTTAAAATCACATACGATCCCAAGTAGCAGAACGTAATCGTAGTTAGGATGGTAACTGCTGTTACTACACCAATATGTAACAAGATGTCGAAACTTCCAAACTGAAGTACTGTAAAAATGACCAAAACTATTCCTAACCATAACGAGAGGACTACCATTTTGACTCGTTTTGCGGTTACCATTGTCTTATATGCTGTCTTGGTGGCTACAGCAAGGTAGCGATCGATACTTATGACTGTTAGAATAAACAAAGATATCGTTTCCAGAGAATAAGTGATACGAATGTTTACCAGATATATTATACAGAAGACAGACGTTGATTTTTTTAAAGCGGCGATACAATAAACAATGTACAATGGATGAGCAATTGCACCAATTAAGACATCATTGACAGTCAAACTTGCGAGCAAAATCCTTGAAGGAGAGCGTCGAAGAGATGGCGTCTTGATAATCGTTAAAGAGACGAGAAAATTGAAGATGGTTATCAAAATAGATGTAATAACGTAGAGGGTTATTAGAGGTATCTCAAAGTAGAGCTCAAATTCGTCCATTTTGATATCTTTTTCATAGCACTGGTTCAGTTGCGACATTATATGCGCAAACCAACGTCCTTCGCCCTTGTACAGCCTTTATTTTATTTTTGAAAGTATTACCGACAAAAGGTAACCGCTTAAACCACCGCTTCCAAAAAGGTTTAACAAATTCACCGTCTGTGGGCAACGTTTAAAGGGCTTCTAGATGGTACTAACACGATCTGAAACTTCAGCACTCAAAGGGCTTCCAAAGAAATATTTCTTGAATTCGACAGCACTCAAAGGGATTAAATGCGTGAAGCATGCACCAGCGCATCATAAAGATTTTTTGAATCCGGGTAGCACTCGAAGGGCTTCTAAATAATCTACCGTAGGAAAACGTTTTGAATCCGACAGCTTTAACTATAATATAACACTTTATTGGATCAGAACAGCACTCAAATGGCTTCTCGATGCTGAGCAAGATTTTTTAAAAAGATACAGCATGCGAAGGGCTTCTCGATGGTGTGACCAAAATTTGATTCAGCACGCAAACCGCTTTTCAATGGTATGGCAAAAATTTCGTAAAGATTCGACACTCAAAAATATCGATGGTATGACCAGGATATTATTAAGTCTGATTCAGCACACTCAAAGGGCTTCTTGATGGAATGACCAAGACCTTATAAAGACTGATTCAGCACTGAAAGAGCTTTTCGATGGTATGGCAAAGATTTCGTAAAGATTCAGCACTCAAAGGGTTTTTCGATGTTATGACCAGGATATTATTAAGTTTGATTCAACACACTCAAAGGGCTTTTCCGGAACGATGTTATAAAAATATTGCATCAGGATTCAGTACTCATATGGCTTCTCGGTTGTAAAACCAATATTCTGTAAAGTTTCAGTAATCAAAGGTCGTGCTTCTCGATAATATGTGACCAAGCTAATAGTTCAGTATTCAAAGATTCAGCACTAAGGGCTTCCAGATGGTTCGGTCCAGTATTCTTCGAGTCTTCGAGAACAAAATATTTCATTCAGCACTCAAAGGGCTTCCTAATGAAGTGGTCGTCAAGTGCTACTCATCAAGACTGAACAAGAGCTTTTAAATCAGCATTCGAATGGCTTCCACTGACATTGCAAGCACATGATTTAATTTCGTTCAGCTCTGAAAGGGCTTTTATTTAACTATTCTACACTCTGAGGCCAGTTGATGTTTGCTGGATCTTATGCAAATAAAACCAATTTTTCATCGCTACTCGCTATTTCAAAATCTATTGCCTGTTACACTGTAATTGGATAATCGATGACAAATATCGACTTTTTTTCTTTCTTTTTTTTTGTTTTTGTTTTGTTTTTTGTTTTTGTTTTTTTGAGTATTTTTTTTAATGTATGGGGTATCAACTCATGTAAATAATCATATTTTTTGCTATTAAAAAAATGAACAACTAAAAAAATCGACTCAATCCAGCTGATAACGTCACTGCAAAACCTGGTGTTATGAAGCCTGTGAAAAATGAACATCAAAAAATAAAAGGAATGTCCGTCATTGTAATAAAAATAAAAAGCTCGTTTGTTATTGTGCTATTGTTATTGATTAAACCTCTTATTAGAAACGTTTTGTTTTTTTTCATTTGGTGGAAAAACATATTTTTTCAAGGGGAAAAGTGACACCTCAGTTGAACAAATTTTCTCGATTCTTATTGGCTAACATTTTCTCTCGATCAGATCTGCTGGAAACGTTGTGTCGTTTAGAAATATAATTTGCAGCAATAACCTGTTCGGCTTTTTTTGACCTATTTTTGAATTGATACCATTATCATTCGGCGAAAAAAGAAAAAAAATCACTGTCAAAATTAACAGAACTAAAGATTTTGCCATCCAGTGATTGATTATTGCTTACTATCAATCACGTGACTTTTTGGAGCTGACTGGGGGGCAAACAAGCGGTTGACTGAGGGGCAACTAGCGGATGTTAAGTCAAAGCATGTCAAAATAAGTCTTCAAACTATTGTATTTGACTATTTCTACGACATGAAACCAGAAAACAAGAGATCAAAACAACCTCCAAGATTCTAAAAGCCATTAAAAACACAGCTATTACCGGAAGTGACGTCTATTGATAGCAACCTATTAGTATACTCTTGTCAGTGGTATCTTTGTTACTCATACAATGAGAATGGGAGATATGGCGGTCAAGCTTAGCAGCTAAAGAGTGAAAACTGCGCTTGAAATAAAAGGGAGGAGTGGGAGGGGAAACGAGAAAACCTGCCAAGCACGATCGCAGAGTATGAGTAGAAGAACCACAGTACATCTCATCAGCTGGCTGACACTTTCCGGTAGTTATCTCGAAGAGTGATGTCAAGGAGGAGTGATCTCATTTATATTCGTACAGAGATACCGCTGACAATACTTAAAGGATTTTAAATAAACTTTATAAATTATGCATCCCATCTATCAAATCCAATTCCTATGGCGGACGCGCTTTCTCGACATCTGCGCCAAATTTGTAGTATTCAATTCCTGAGCACTTTAAAAGAGCAGAAACAGTAGAAACTTTTAAAGCTAAACCTAAGAGATTTTTATTTCAAAAAAATTAATTTTAGTTGATCATATATATATGCGTTGCTAGGCGCATTGAGGTTAGAAATATGCGTTTAGGCGCATTGAGGTTAGAAATGCGCCCGCTATAAGCACTATTTGTTATTATTATTATTATTATTAGCAGTAGCAGTAGCAGTAGCAGTAGCAGTAGCAGTAGCAGTAGCAGTAGCAGTAGCAG